CCAATCAATATTTGGTGTGACCACCCTTTGCCTTCAAAACAGCAGCAATTCTCATAGGTACACTTGCACAAAGTTAGGGATTTTGCAGGATAATAGTCAGGTGTATGATCAACCAATTATACCAAACCGGTGCTAATGATCATCAACCTCACCTTGGTAGCAGAGTTTGGCTGCTCCTCACCCAGTTTTAAGCCTCCTACACGGCTGTTTCTGCTTCAGTTCATGACTGGGTTTCAACCTACATGTGACATTGATGATCATTAGCACCTGTTTGGTATAATTGGTTGATCATATATCTGACTATAATCCTGCAAAATCCCTGACTTTGTGCAAGTGTACCTATGAGAATTGCTGCCGTTCTGAAGGCAAAGGGTGGTCACACCAAATATTGATTTGATTTAGATTTTTCTACTTGTCAGCTCTTCATTCCATCACTCATCAGCTTTCCTTTTAGTAGAGTTATCTTCAATTCACTGTATCCTTCCTGGTCCATCTTTTTCCTCAAACCATGTTCAAGTACTTTTGAAAGGACATTAGGTTCATATACTTCCTTTTTTATCATTTTCAAAAATTGCTTGTTTTAAGATCCTTTGGATCAACATGTTTTACAACACAGGGTGAGTTTTCTTCAGTTCTAGTGAAGGAAGTTTTAAATACAAGGTTAAGGACCTTGATTTTTTTTTAAAATAAACAGCAAAAGGGTGATTAGAACTTTGATTTTGGAAAGTTGCAAACTAAGAATCTGAAACAAGACTCTTGAATTAATTGTAAGAATCCTTCCCATGGGAAAGTGCTTTTGTTTTGAATTCTCTTTATATGACTATGAATTTATTTTTTTACTATATTTTATTTTTTCCTTTTTTTCTACTTGTTTCTTTACTGCGTTTTCTTTTTTAAAAGTCTTTTAATTTATTTTGCTTTAATTTATCTTTTTAATTGTAATTTTAATAAAATTACTATAAAAAGAACAAAAAATCCAAAGGTTATTAACAAAATTAATGGAATTTTATTTATAATTTTTAGTTGAAAGGTAAACTGTTTAGAAGAGAGCAGTCAGTTCACTTTACCAAAATACTTCAATTTCCCCGCTGGATCTGGAATTATCTGCAAAAGAAAAAAAAAGTATTATTATCGAAACACATCAAAACACAGTCTTGATGTACATGCATGGTTGGTTTTGAAAAACTATATTATTAATCTACAGCCTAAAACTATTACATTACATATTTAAAAAACTTTATTTATAGCTTTTTGCCTTATCACCACATTTTCAAAGAATCTTCAGATTGATTTAAAAACAGATAGAGTTATCACTAACTCTCTACATTCTGTGATCTTACATAAATTCTACTTTACTTTAAAAAATGGAAATAGAAATTCTTTAATAGCTATTTTGGCTCTTCGCTTTAGTCCCATCCAGCCTAACAATAAGTATCTGCAAGTACACTCACAAATTTGTCTTTAGAAATGGCCAAGGCCAATGCCAATTAAGGAGTTTTGTAAAAATAAGAAATTCTAAGTTTTTTTAAGATTTGAGGAAGACAGGCTGATACTGGCAGGAAAAAAAGGCTGAAACTTATTGGCTCTGATGTTTTCGCAATCTACATCTAACTTAAATAATCATTTTCTGTTGAAGTGCTATAGAATTCAGAGAAAAGTTTGAATATCAATTCAACCTACAATATCAACTCTTAAGAAAATATTTATATAAGAGGCATACTTCCCTTTGAAATAGATTTTTCCAAATAATTCAAAAAATAAAAAAATAAAGCTTTAGAAATATAGGAAATAAATAGTTTGCTCACTGTGAATTTCTATCTTGACTGACTGAACTGAAAACTGCAATAATTTCTTGAGATTATAATATTTGCATATGGTGAAGGAATTACTGCTACATGCTTCAAGCATACCTGAGAGAAAGTTCAGCATTTGAATAGATATAAATAATTAGTAGTTCAGGTTTGGCATAGGCCCTAAATGCCACTATGCCAAGCAAGATGACAGGGTAATGAGATATACCTAAAGCACATAAAATGTCACAGTATTGCAGCAAACATCCATTTTCATGCAGGGCAGAAAACTAGACAGTTAAATGGCACTAAAATTGCTGGCACACTGTTTTTGGCATATGGGTGACATTTCCCCATGTGACATTTTCTGTTAAGACTGTGTGTGTTAATAGGCATTTTAAAAATGATAATGCTTAAAAAATTCAACTTACTGTTTCACTGCCTGGTTTCCAGCCAGCAGGACAAACTGAGAAAATAATGAAGACTGATGTTGATATGTTGGTTAAAAATTAACAAATAAACTTGTCTTTTTATTCTTGTTCTGTAGACTATTGAGGCCAAATATCTATTATAAAGATAAAAAAAATATTTTCTGCAAACGAAAATTTGATGGCAAAATCCTAATTCTAAGTATCCAGGCCTAGTCTAGGCTGAGAGTTTTTCAGGAAACCCTTTGTATTGGGAACATATATGCCAAGATATAGGCATTCAGCACTCAATAGCATTTTAATTTATTTCTTCATAAATGTGTTTAAGATCAAGAGTGATATAAAAATGAAAGTCTAATTTTTGCTGTGCATATGTTTAAAAATCTTGTTTTCTAATTAGATAAATGTTTAACCAAATTCAAGGTTAGCTTCTGCATATTTTATTATGCTGTAATTCTTAAACCAATGATTTGTTTCTGGTACATGTGTTTAACTTCAACACACAAAGTAACATATTATTTATTTGAATATTAGTAATATGTTTTACAAGCAGAAAGTGCAGTTTAGACAACAAAAGTAGGATATCTATAGCACTTTCAAACATATTACTTTTCTCAATCAATACAAGCAAAGTACCCCAGATTCTCCAGTGACATAGATCAGAAACATCAAATTAAATGGTAGGTACTTAAGTAATTCTGCTGGTCAAATGTGAATAATCTTGATGAAGATGTCAAAAGGGTAGCAGATTACACATTTGACATAGATCCGATACCATCTTTGGTAGTGTCTATCTAGTAATAATAGAAGAGTTTAATGGTATAGTTCTGTTTATTACGGATCTATGAATCTAAGTAGGATTTTTAAAAATCTGAATAACAATAGGAAGAAAGGAACTGTCCACTGCTTCCTTTTTTTCTATAGTGAGGAGAAAGATACCACAATTTCAGGATTATTCCATCTTGGGAGTTTTGAGGCAATAATGAACCATATTCCAAGTGTTATAAATTTGTATTTAACTACTGTTACTACCAAAACATTTTTATTTATTTATTAGACTTTTATCCCAACTTTATTACTTTAAAAGTAACTCAAGGCAGCGAACACACATAATACTCTCTCTTCCTCCTATTTTTCCCACAATAACAAACATGTGAAGTAAGTTGGATTGAGAGTGTGTGACCAGGCCAAAATCATCCAGCCAGCTTTCATGCCTAAGACAGGATAGAATTCACAGTCTCCTAGTTTCTAGGCCAGCACCTTAAATATTGTACCAAACTGAATAGATAAGTACCTTCTCCATGTTTGTCAGTATACTGGAATGCTTGTATTAGACGAAGGGTTTCATCTACTGATCTGCCAACAGGAAGATCATTCATTGTTATTTGTCGAAGAATTTTCTTGTCATCAATAATAAATAGACCTCTGTGAAAACATGAGAAAAATGAACAAGAAAAAAGAATCATTTTTGAAAATAGTGAAAGATGTATCTGATGCAATCCTTTTTTATACTGTGTATTAGAACAAAATAATTTTAAATCCAGTCTCAATAATCTGTACTATGTTTAATTCCACCATCATTTGAATACATAGAACTTGGATTATTAAAACAATTTTGGTAATTATTAACCTAATATTTAAGGGTTGCACAAGATAACAAATATTTGATTTAAAAAGTTGAGCCACTTCATTTGTCACTGCTGCAATATATGTATAAAAAACCCAGAATAGTTCATACTAGCTGAATACCCGTGCTTCGCTTCGAAACTATGTGATCGGATTTGATAAATCAACACTTATAGCTTGAAAAATAGCTGTGGTTACAATCAGCTTCTCCTCTCCTATCCCCTTCTCTCCCTTAGGCTTGCCCCACAGAAACCTCTCCTATCCCCTTCTCTCCCTCAGCCTTGCCCCATAGAATCCTCCCATCCTATCCCCTTCTCTCCCTCAGGCTTGCCCCACAGAAGCCTCCCCTATCCTATCCCCTTCTCTCCCTCAGGCTTGCCCCATAGAAGCCTCCCCTGTCCTATACCCTTCTCTCACTCAGGCTTGCTCCACAGAATCCTCCCCTATCAGGGGTGGGTTTCTGCTGGGATACTGCCGATTAGGTGTGTGCACATGGAGATTTCATGATCGCAGCGTGAGTGGTTTTCACTTATAGAGAGAGAGATTATACCTAAGAGCATGTCCTTGGTCCTCTAGATAAACACCATAGTCTTTTGAAATCTGGTGTGTCAAATCAGAAAGCAGAGGTATCTTCACTGGTCCAAGTCCTCCTTGTTTTCGTGGTGTATTTATCCTATTGCAATAAAAAGTAAACATTCTATTAAAGCATTATTTTATACTTTACACTAATCTTGAATAGTTAATTAATGGTATCATAAATAAACTTGTTCCCAAAGCATATTTAATCACAAAAATTAAAATTCAGTTCCATTGCATAAAATTAAGCAAAAAAATTCTTAATGGAAGAGTAAGACAGCACTATGGCTCTCACCCTTGTTGAGATACCTCAATAATGTTATTTTAGTGACTCATACACATAATTAATTCAGATAAAATTAAAATTTATGGCATAAGGATTATAAATTGAAATGCTATTGATTTTACAATAAAATTTTCAGGTATAACATGTTTGAATTTTACAGGACTATAAAACTGAATGGTTCACTACCAGTAATTTGCATAAGTAAAAAGATAGGGAAAAGAACATACCATGCTAAATGAGTGAACTGTGAATCTACTGAGCAAGCTACCACTTCAGCATCAATTGCTCTGAATTCTTCAATTCTGTCACTAAATGCTATTATTTCCGTTGGACACACAAATGTACTGAAGAGAGATTAAAATTAGATATTTTAAAAACTGAAATAATAGTTTAAATGCTGTATTATGTTAAATGCTATATTACTCATGCAAGAATATCTTTTCCATAGTGTTTAAGAAAATTTCTTGAATTGTAATCTTATTATATTGGGTACCTAATACTCTATTCTGAAGATTTCAAACAAGTGCTATGCATGGGCATATCCTTACAGTGCCAATATAACTGTGTATTTTATGACAATAAGATATTAATAAGCTCTTATTCGGTAGCACAAATAAATCAATTTCACATTTTCAACTTTTTTCAATAGAATTTAGTAAACTTCTGCAATTTTTGCAGTTGCAAGAATAAGTAAAATGCTTGTGTATATTCTAAAATTTGTATCACATATTTACCGTATATTGGCCATTTATTATAAATTGTGGTTAAGATAGTCATGATAAAATAAAGTCTTCAAAGCTGGCCATTTTCAGCACTGTACATTCCTTGTCCCATTTTAATGTTTTCAGACATTAAATGTGGTGGTACAGTGGTTAGTACTGTAGGGCTAGCTCATTGCCCACTCCAGTTGTTTGATTCTGAGTGGCTCAAGATTGACTCAGCTTTCCATCCTTCTGAGGGCGGTAAATGAGGACCTAAATGAGGTAAATGAGGACCTAGGGGCAATATGCTGACTCTGTAAACTGCTTAGAGAGGGCTGTAAAGCACTGTGAAGCAATATATGTCTAAATGCTATTGCTATTCAACATGGGAAAAATATCTTAATTCCTTTCATCTTTTTTTCTCTATGTATGGAAATATCTATTAAATATTTTTCTTCAATAAACATATTGCAAAAAGACATAAATACTAACACATTTGCTTACAAATCAAGAGGATAAAAGAAGAAAATAACATATTTTCCTCCAAAATCTGCTAATTTCAGTTCTTTAAACTCTCCATTGATGACAGCTGTTCCCTCCCAGTCAGGTGCTGGTTTAGAAACTAAAACAACAAACAAAATATGAAAACATTTAAAATCAACATTGTTTCAAAAACTGAGTATTTAGTAGGCAAATTATTAAACATTTCTTTTAACTTTTGCTTTTATTATTTACTGTAGCAACATACAGTCTTGCAAATTGTTAAACTACTAAAATAAATCCATGAATTATCAGTTTTTAAAACTGATTTATGTAGAAATGCCATCCCAAATGTTTAAGGATTGAATCAATACTTTTATTGTTGGGAATAATGGCTAAGCTTTGTTCTGTGAGGCATTATTTGAAATTTATAAAATAAAGTTAAATTATTTTTAAAACACTTCAATTTTTTAAAAACATCACGGTAAAGGTTAAGCTATATAAAAGTAATTGCCTACTACAGACATTTATTATAAAGTACTGATTGGTCTTCAATAGCTGACAATATTTAAAGTCTAAAATAAAATATAAAATATTTGTGTAATAAGGCTGTAGATGTAATAGGGCTGTGGCTATTGCCTTTTTGTTAAGGCAATGAATAGAAATGGATTATGCTACAAAAAGGTAGCGTATTTTTCAGAGTATAAGACGCACCGGAGTAAAAGACGCACCAAGATTTTGAAGAGGCAATTTTTTTTAAAAAAAATGTAGGTAGGTAGAAAGAGGGATAGAGAGGGAGAGAAAGAGAGAGAAATACAATAGGTAGGGAGAGAGAGGGGGTAGGTAGGTAGGTAGGTAGGTAGGTAGGTAGGTAAAAGGATAGAGAAAGAGAGAGAGAGATAGAGAAATACAGTAGGTAGGTAGAGTGTGTGTGTGTGTGTGTGTGTGTGTAGGTAGGTACAGGGATAGAGAGAAATAGAAAAATAGAGAGAAATACAGTAGAAAGGTAGGTGTTTCTGCTGGTACAGCATTTGATCAATGTAATTCTCATCAATCAGTTAGAGAGCTTTCTAAAAGAAAAAAAAAGTTTTTGCACTTTGCAAACCTCCCCAAAACGGCCCATTTTTCACGAAAACTGGCCCATTTTTTTAAAAAAAGGCACGAATAGCCTGCAGGGGGGGAGCAAAAACGAGCAAAAAACTGCCCTTTTTGTCAAAAAAAAAATTGCATGCATAGCCTTATGGAGGCTTATAGAGTGCTGCTGGGGGGGGGGGGGGGG